TGTGTAAAAACAGTTGGATATAAGGTTTCAGTTAATGGAAATCTCACGGACTATATTCTCCCGACGCATGGTTTGAGACATGGTGATCTCTATCCCCTTACCTTTTCATTTATATATGTGCTTAAGGGCTCTCGTACTTGATTGATAATGCTATTGGTAATGGGCGTGTGTCACCTTGTGTGGTTGTGAGGGGGGCACCGGGCATCTCTCATTTGTTTTTTGTCGACGACAGCTTATTATTTTTCAAGGCATCAATTCAGGAAGTTGTGGTAGTAAAAGAATGTTTATTACACTATGAGCATATGTCTGGCCAAACAGTGAATTTTGGTAAATCTTGCATTGTGTATAGCCGGAATACGATCGAGATGACAAAAGAAGCAGTAGCCGGGGTTTTTAATGTGACTCAGTCAGTTTCTATTGGCACGTATTTGGGACTTCCATGGGTATTGGCCGAAATAAAAAGTAGGTTTTCTCATATATTGAAATAAAGCTCCGGCAAAGATTGGGAGGGGCGGAAAAAAATTCTCTCCCGAGTAGATAAGGAGATTTTGATTAAGAGTGTTGCGCAGCTTTGCCAATGTACTCTATGAGCTTATATTATTTGCCTATTACTTTCTCTTAACACCTTGAGAGGCTTATAAATAAATTTTGGTGGGAGTCGGGAAATGGTAACGGTGGTATAAGGTGGATGGCTTGGAGTAGACTGAGCACTACTAAATCAAGTGGAGGATTGAGTTTCAAGTGTTTGAACCGTTTTAATATGGCTCTCCTTGCTAAACAAGGTTGGCGTATTCTCACAAATCCTTCTTTTTTAGTGGCCCGCCTTTATAAAGCACATATTTCCCAAGAAGCGATTTTCTGAATGCAACGATTGGTGCGAACCCAAGTTAAGATCGATGCTTGCCGGTCAATCAATTCTTCAACTGGGATGTTACAAAAGAATTGGTGATCGTCGGTTAACAAAAATCTGGGAACACCCTACCCTTGGTTGCTAGACGTTTCAAATCCGTATGTTGTCACCCCAAAGCTGAACTCCCATGCAGACATGAAGGTTAATTAGCAGTTCTTTTCAAAAGATTGAACCCCAATCCTAAGAGCCCCACACACTTCGACCCGACAGAGCATCTGAGAGGATGTAAATCAAGATAACTCACCTGAACATGAACCACAGAGACTAGACCTTTGCTTACTGTGCAAAGGAGCCCCTCACTTTAATTGATCCAGTTTTACAGAATTGGGATTTAAGTAAACTTGACTCCATGTTTGTTGCTCGAGATGTGGCAATGATTAAAAAAATTCCAGTAGCGGGCCATGCAGTTTGCTGATCAATGGTGCTGGAGAGGAGAGGTGAGTGGTCTTTATACCGTAAAACATGGGTATACACTTACTGGAATATGGATACTCATGATTTGCCTATTTCTCAGGGATGGAAGGCGTTATGGAATAAGCTAGCGTGGTTTGTTACGTTCGCAAACTGGTTTCTTTTGTTAGTTAACTTCTGTTCCTTTGTGTATTGAACACTTGCTTTAATAAAAGTTTGAATACCTTTTTTTTTCAAAAAAA